ATGGGTAGATGATACATAAAATCTTTTATTTATATCACCTCTGACTCTTTCATGGACATTCAAGATGACGATAATGTTTCTAGTGAACCTCACAGTCTACTTTCTTTTCTAACAACCTTTTCTCAGTCTTTTAGTGTGTCACTCCACTCTGCACTCTTCAACCAAGAAGAACTTTCTGCATTCTGTGTGCGGCAACACTAGCTTCGTCCTCCGAGTCAGATTCGCTCTGGGATGTGGAACTGCAAGGCGAAGAGCACTCTGGTGAACACAAGTAGTGCATCAGGGGGAGGCGGTACTTTCCACAGAAGTCCACAAATTTTATTTGTCTGACACAGCAGTCAAAGTACACTCCTGGAGAGAAGGAGGAATAAGTATAAAGTAATCATTACAAAGCACAGAATCAGTTTCTTTTGCAACCATTTCTCCAGCATTCTGAAGAAATTCTCTGTTGTGAATCTTATCAATATATAGATGTTTCTATAGCTGTTTATAGCTATTTATAATGATTTGGCTGTGAAGGGGAGGCCAGATTTACCTAAAAGGGAGATGGTATTAAAAGGACCCTGTTTATTTAGCTTGTTTTCTCTGCGTGATTTGATAGACAGTGCCGGATAGTACTATCCTACTGTCAAGGAACTTAAAAAGCCTACAAAACTTCAAAATTTACAGAAAGGAGACAACTTTTGGTATCCTTGTTCTTTATGTTTTGAGAAGCAAAAGAAAAAGAAAAAGAAAATGATATCTTACATTTCCACAGGTTCTAACTCTACACACTTCAAAGCTGTTTCATGAATGGTCTCATAGGGTTTTCACACAATTATATACTGTTAGGTAGACTGAAACTAGTACCTTTTAATCCTCACCAAAGAATATTTTTCCATTGATTTTTAGAGCGGAAGAGAGAGGGAAAAACAGAGAGTAACACCAAAATTGGTTGCCTCCTGCACGTGCTCTGACCAGGGCCTGAACTGGGGAGGAACCTGCAACTGAGGTACATGCCCTTGACCAGAATCGAACACGGGAGCCTTCGATCCACAGGCCAACACTATCCACTGAGCCAAACTGGCTAGGGTTATTCAGCTCTTTTGATTCCTAATTTTGATTCCACAGTGCTCCTGAACTGTGGCTCTTCAGCTAAGTAAAAATACATGTAGAGCTGAGAGAAAAGCAGAGGTGGCTGTATATCAGGGTTCTAGCTGCTCCTTCAAGATACCGCACATGTCTAACCTAGGCTGTCACAATGATTGCAGTATAACTGGAACATCTAGAACTCTGGGTCAAATTGCCTCTCTAGAGAGGAATCTCAACCTCTATACCTTACCTAAATTTCCTCTGGCACCAACAATTCTGTGTGTGTCACAAAAAGAACCAAAATAACAAGATGTGGTCCAAAGAAGAAATAATAATTTCTATTTATTTTTCCCTAACACTACCCCATTAACTTCCTAATTTTTTTGATCCTACAGTAACTATCACTCATCCTATATAATAAAAGGCTAATATGCAAATTGATCGAACGGCAGAACAATCGATCGCTATGACATGCACCAACCACCAGGGGGCAGACGCCCAATGCAGGAGCTGTCCCCTGGTGGTCAGTTCACTCCCACAGGGGGAGTGCTGCTCAGCCAGAAGCCAGGCTCATGGCTAGCAAGCGCAGTGGTGGTGGCAGGAGCCTCTCCTGCCTCCACGGCAGTGCTAAGGATCCTGAGGAGTCCCGGACTGTGAGAGCATGCAGGCTGGGCTGAGGGACCAGCCCCCCACCCACCCGCTGCCCCAGTACACAACTGTTGTGCACCAAGCCTCTAATCCTATCTAATAAAAGACAAACAGGGTAATTAATCGTACCTCTGCTATGTTCTTCCCATCGACTAATCAGGGCAATATGCAAATTAACTGCCAACAAAGATGGCGGTTAATTTGCATACGTAGGCACCAAGCCACAGACCGAGGTGTTAGGCCTGGGCAGGGGCGGAGCAGGAGATCACGGAGAGCTGGGTATCCCCTGCCCAGGCCTAATGCCTCAGCCAGATCTAGGTTTTTTTACCACACTCCTGGAGAAAAAAAGGAAGGTCTGCTGCTGGAGGGTTAAGAAATGTCATATCCTGTCCTGCGGTGACTGGCAGTGGCTGCAGCAGCGGGGTGATGGGGCTGGTGCCTTCCCCTGATCAGTCCGGTCGCCTCCCACAAAGGGAGGCCAGACTGTGGCTTAGGCCCGCTCCCCAAGCGGAGCAGGAAGCAGGGAGTAGGACATCCCCTGAAGGCTCCCAATATGTGATAGGGGGCAAGCTAGGCTGAGGGACCCCTCCCCTCCAGTGCACAAATTTTTGTGCACCGGGCCTCTAGTAGTTTAATAAAGGAAATTCAAGGTATATTACTTTGAACAATTTAGGAAAGTAGAAAAATTCAATAAACTGGTCAATCAGTATTTATATACCCTCAAAATATGTTACCTTCCTAAGGAAGAAACAAAATAAAGCATTATAGAGTTACCATGAGTTAAAATAGTACAATATTATCTTGTCATTCCTAAGATCTCAGACTACACAGAGAAAACGTCTCACAAAATATACAATTACTTTTGCTTAGAGTTTAATAACTAATGAGTCTGGGAGGGGAAAATGTCAATGGTTCATTTTATATGTTATCTTAAATTTTAAACTAATCATTTAAAATGCATTTTTGTTCCTAAGATAAGTAGCAAATCAGTATATTGAAGAAGTAAAATAGAAACAAATAAGAGAAAAAGTGAATTCTTGTAGAGGTCCATTTCCAGAAAAGGACAGATTTAAAGAGATTAGACAAAGACTACAGAGTCTGAAGGCCTGGTGTGAATGTTGTCCCTTGTCATTGTTAAAACCAACTTAGGAAAGAGAACCAGAGAAAAGTATAAGCAATTATAATTTGGCACAGCACAGCAATCTATACTTCTAAGAGTGAGTGGCTAGAAAGGCTCGAATATTGTTCTTTTTGAACCAATAATGTCTTTTTTCTCTTGATATTCTTTGAGGAACTTAAATGATTTTCTCCTTTTTAATAAACCTTATAATGGTTTCAAGACATGATGGGACTTCCCAGAAAAATCTCTGATCATAATTATATATCATTTCCCCAGCACCTACATTTATCCAACAGTAAAAACCTTTCTGTACCCCCATCAAATTGAATTTTTTAAGTAGCAGTCTTCTTTTAGGGAGCCAAAATAAAATGACCTATCATCAGTCACCAACTCTCACTCACACTCCCTAGCACTCCATGCCGTTCATAACCTACTCCCAATGAATCTTTTATAAACTCTTTTCTCTCATTACTCCCCTAATTGTACAACTGAGCCAATTACTCATTCAACATTCTGCTCCATACTGCTGTTTTATCTCTAATTTTATTCTTTCCTTCTGAAAAGTTTCTTATCCTCAATCTTACCCTAACAAAATCCAACTCATACGACAAGAATCATCTCATCTTTTCCAGATGTAGTTAAATGTACTCTCTCCCTCTTTTGATTCCCAATACTACACTGAATTCCTACTTCACTCTGCCTTACATTACAGCATTTGTTTCAGTCTCTTCATATACTCTAAACCGAAGAAATTTTGAGCCATGGATTTAGAAGTATATAAAATTCCAAGGTACATTCTGAAATTGGCACACATTCTGCCCATTCTCATGTATCTTGACTCATACTCTATAAAGGTACTGGATACTCAGACTGGTGATTCTAAGTAGCTAAACATTTTAGAGATTCTTTCTAGGCAATTAGGAATGTTATGCTTCTTTTTTAAAAAAAAATATTTTTAGT